ATCATTGTACAATCTACCAGATGCAGAAGATGATAGAAAAAAGGATGAATCATTAGCCCTATCCGAAAGTCTTCTTGAATTTATGAATCCTGGCCAAGATTCATATATCAATCCGTTATCCAAAGTTCCAAATCATGGAATAAATGAAAACCCTATCGCATTTGCCCTGATTAATTCAGAGGAAACTATTTCAGATGAAAATAATCCAATCACCTATGGATATTCATCTCAAATGATCTTCATAGAAGAGAAGTTACTTCCATATGCTGGTGGAAGTTATGAAACAGCATCAAGTGTTGCTGGAGGAGAAGGTCAACCACCACCACATCCAGTTACCATTCCAAGAATGCTTGGAAATGGCCCATCTCTACTAGATTTGAGATTGCCATCCAATGTACTGGAATATATACTCGAACTCTTGAGAACTAACTCAGGTCCAGGATCTGTACTAAACGAAAAGGTTGCACAATCTGAAAAAGATGAAAAGGAAGCCAAGGATTTTGATATCTTCAATCCTCATCATGATCATCATGATCATCATGATAAGAACGATGATGACTATGACTACAATCTAAATTAAGTTTTAGGTTCATGTTCAAAAAGTTTTGTAAATAAAGTTGTGTGTAACTTTTTTAAAAGGTGAACCTGGTTTCCATGAATACTGTTGTGATCTTTCTAATGGATTGTAAAAGTAGTTGTTGAGGTTTTTTTTTTCATCAAAGAACATCGAGTTCGGATCTGGATTTGAACAGAAAAGCTTGTAAAAAGTGGAAATTGTTCGCTAACGTAAAATAGTTCACAAAGCAAGATATTTTGATCAAAGGAGTTGCTTTGCAATTCCATTTCACCCACAAATTCAATCCAAACAAAATTTCTTTCACCTTCTCCAATTCTCTGTTGATGATACCCGTTTTGTTAATATTCCTAATAATCATTAATGCTGAACAAGAACAATAGAGAAGATTTTCCCGCCCAAGAATAACTTGCCTTAACAAAAACATGTTTAAATCTAACAATAAATATGTGAACAACAATTAGTTATTCATGTTATTAGGATCATTTCCCTTTTATTCTTCATCTTGTTCATGTTTTTTACTCATACTCTCTTTATCAGATCTATTTTCACAAGTTCCTGAATCTTCATCTTGTTCAATTCTTGGAATCCAGATTCTTACATAATTTGATATATAATTTCTGTTAGCTCAACTGGTTCATATGTTATTGAAACAACGTCATTTGGTACTGATGTCCTCAGAAGAAAGAAGGGTTAAGGAACATGCTGCTCCACAAAAGCTATGAATTAAAAACACCTATTTATTAATTCTTAATCAGGTTAATATTTTCCAATTTTGATGGCAGAGATACTCACCAGTGTTCAGAAGAAACTGTGCAAATATTTGATCATCATTAATAATAAATAGATTATTAATATTCTTTGTGGAAGAAAATATTTTAATTAATTATTAGTTTTGAAGAATTTTATTAAAAATTTACCTCCGTGTTTGATCATGTTGGTTAGAAATTGTACAATCAAAAATTATATGATTACCACATGTTAAAAGATCTCTCTTGTCATTAATAATGTAAAATGTGGATTGATCACAACGAGTTGATGGTTCATCACCTCCAACAATCAGCACTGTGTGATGAAAGAACTAGCAAAATTGTATTTTTAGACCAGAATAAAAAATAAAAGAAAAAATTTTGTCGCTTGCCTTCTTCCATCATTAGGAGAGTGAAACGCGTCATCAAAAATTAAATTAGTTAATCTAAATACAAGTGGTTGTATATTGTTAAATTGCTACTTGTTTAGGTTACAGTAGATTATTATTATATATAGTGGTTATTTGTTTGGTTTTTAGGAAGCTAAATATTATTATTTTACACCCGATCAAAGTATTGTTGTGAAGAGATAAATACCTAGTAACAATGAAAATGACAGATGAATATGACCTTTCAGATAGTGATGATGAAATGATGCAAGATACTGAGGAAGATAGAGGTTTCAGTGCTGAAGAAGAGAGAAAGCTTGCTTTAAGACAACAGGAATTGGATGAAGCAGCTCAATATTATGAACCAATCGATGAATCAAAGGAAGGTGTCTATCATGTCAAATCATTTGATGCCAATACTGAAAAAGTGAGATGGAAGGCGACTTTCAAAAATGC